CCAAACTGATATATTTTTATGTAGTGCTGAGGATCAAACCCAGTGCCCTACGCATGCCAGGTGAGTGCTCTACCTCTGGGCCACAAGCTCAGCCCTCTGATACTGTTTTAATCAACCTCAATCCTCAATTTTCAGCCTCAATCCCAAGGACTCCCCACATACAATTATTTTGCAAGCAAATGGAATTATTTTCAAAGATTAACACACTTTTTAAAATCTTGATGTCTTTGTTGATGCTCTTCCCTCAGGCAGATATTAATGATTACTCAAAGAGATCTACATTCTTCTGCCCAGAATGTGTTGAGGGAGGCATGAAGGTGTTGGGGGGGGATGAGGAAGGGAGGGGGAAAAGAATGAATGAATGAATGAATGAATGAATGAATGAGAATGAATAGAAGATACTTCACTTCTGGCTTTGAAGATGAAGCCATGAGCCAAGGAGTATGGGTGGACTCTAAAGCTGGCAAAGGCAAGGAAATAGATTTCTACCAAGTTTTCCAGAGAAACACAGCCCTACTGAATTCTTCTAGACTTCTAACTCCTGGAACTGAAAGTAAGAAATTCTGTTGTTTCAGCTGATAAGTATATGTTTTTTTTTTTTTTTACAGCAATCATAGGAAATGACTGCACCATCTGACATGGAAAATTAAATGCTAGCTTATCCTAGATCAGTTTCCTCACTCCTGCATTCTCTTCCTCTTTTGGACCTGTCTTTTTGCATGTACCTTACTTGATGACATAGGCACAGGACTACTTTTCTTATTCTCTTTTCAGATATAAGTGATAGAAACTCAACTAAACCTCATTTAAGCAAAAGGAGAATTTATCATCATGTAAATTGAAAAGTTCAGGGATGGAGCTTAAGGGAAACTTGGATCCAAGTGCTTAATGTTGTCAGATATTGGGTTCCATCTTTTGGCTCTGCTTTCTTCTTCATTGGCTTCATTACCCAGTAGACTTTCCCTTTACAGTGACATCAGAGATCACCAGCACCTCCAGGCTTATATTTAACTATTATGCTGAAATAATTTTTCTCATTTGTTTAAAAAAAGTTTTAGGATTGAGTCTTTTGGACTGGTCTGCAGCAGGTCCCCAGCACTGAATCAATTCCTACGGTCTATAGAGTAGAATGGGCTCTAATAAGCCAGACTTTGGTCAGAATTAGGTAATCAGCTCATTCCAATTTTCTTGTTACTTTTCTGGTTTTATATTAAAAGTCTCAGGCCCCAGGAAAGTCCTCAGGTCAGGGCAAACCAGGACACTTGGCTCCTTCGAGTCCAGCTTGGAGATGTGGGGAGTTAAGGCCAGCCCAGTTTGACTCCCATAGACTGGCATGAAGGTAGTGGTTTCCCAGAGGACCCACAAGAAGATAGAGGAATAAATGCTGGACAGGCAAGAGCAGCACAGCAATGTCCTCTCCATTTGCCTTTCTAGATGAGATGCCCCTTGAGAACAGAATATTTTTGTATCCTTTGAAAAATTGAGCACCATGCTTTCCGCATAGAAAACCCTCAAAAGAATTTCTGCTGCTTTTTTCACAACTTTATTAAATATCAGAAAAAATATAGTTTAATGAAGGTTACACAGAAAAAATTTTTTAAAACATAGTGTAGTATCAATCTTAACTGAGATTATTTAAATATAATATTGCTAAAAATAGGATAAGTGAAGAGTTTTACTTAAATGAACTTTCAAAGTCACTAATGTGCGATGATTTCCTAAGGTTCTTTCTTCTCTTATATTAAGATAAAAACCTGCATTTTGTTTTCTTTATAGTAATATCTATTAAAAAATGAACCTTAAAATACGCTCCTAGTGATTGAACTTTGATTCTTTAGTTTCATTTTTGTGGTTATTTAATTAGAGCTAAGCAGTGGACAGAAGTTGTTTTTCTTGGGCAGGGTGTGGCTTTTGCTCTGAAACCTTTTTCCTGTAACTTCTAACATCTGACCTAATTCCTGCCAACAATGAGTTATACGTCACAATTAGGAATTTAAAGGAGAAATAATTGCATAAAGAGCTTTAACTTTGAAAAGGATTCAATTTAAAACATATTTTGTATTAATAAACACTAAATCTTGAGTCTAGTTTATGATTAAAAAAGAAACTAACTCTGACTACTTCCAAATCTGACATTACAAATGGAGACAAAGACTCTAGTTGGGTTAATTTGTGTGAATTTAGCCAAGTCAGTGCTCTCTGGGAATGCAACATTCATTTGTAAATAATGAATTCAGACTATTGCCTTTAACTCATTTCAGTCTATAACACAAAATGGGTGCAAAGGCTTTATGTGGAAAATTCCCTTTTCTAAAGCTGAGCTAAAGAACACAAGTGAATATTCTTAAATACATTATCTATGTCTAAAACCCACATTAGAAATGAATTTGTATTGCTGCTACATTTTATCATTAAATTCCTACAATGAATTTATAGTAACCTTTATAGTGGACTTCTAAGCATCCTTTCCATCTCCCTACCACTGAGGGAAAAAGTAGAGTTCAGGAAATCCTGTCCATCGCTGTGCTCAAGGTGTGGACCTAATTACTGGTAACTGCATATTCTCTGCATGCTTAGATTTGAGCATGTGGCACTATTCTAGTCAAACTGATTGAAGGAGATGGTGCCAGAGGTTTTTGAGATAAAAAAAAATCCCAGAAGCCACTTCTGTCACCCAGTAGAGGTGAAAAATGAATCATCTGGCTCCTGTTGGTACTGGTAGTTATCTTAAAACCAGTACAGGAGCCAGTGTCACTGTATAAGAATCCAGGACATGATTAACATTGTCTGGTTGTTAATTCAACCAGCCCTGAAGTCTCCCCTTCCTCTGGATTCCTTGTTCCACAACATGGTAAGTATTTATTATTTAATCCCATTTGAAACCATATTTCTCTTTTGGTTGAATAGTAATATATGGGGGAATAACAGAAGCCTGGTGCCAGAAGGTCCTTATGTGTCATTTTGTCCCTCTGTTCTTGACCACTGATTCTTACAAAGGAAGTGACCAGACTACATGGGACTCTCGGATCTGATCCAGCCACACAGGCAGTACCAGTGGTTGAAGGTAGCCCTTTTCTTTGATGACTGGCCAGTTATTATCTATCATTGACCCAAACAAACAAACAAACAAACAAAAAAACAAAGAAACAGAAACAAACAAACAAACGTACAGTTTGCAAAGTTCCTCTGTACTGCTGTGCTTAAGGTATGTACTACACGTCATCTATATGGCAGTCAATTTTGTCTACTATTTAAATAATTATGCCCCTAGTGAGTGAAAAAACATGATGTGCATAATCATACTCCCAAATGCCCAGAAAATATAAGTTCTACTGAATTGGATATGATACAAATTCTCCTAGAACTCAGGCTTACCCTACTGTTCAAATTGGGCAATATTTATTTTCAGGTCATAATGATCATTTCTAAAACTTAAAATGTTCAAATACTGTGCTGAGTACCTTACTTGCTTTACCTCATTTATCTAAGAGGTTGGTACTGTAACACTTTATTGTGCAGATGAGGAAATAAATGCTCAAACAGGTTGAGACAATTTCCCAAGATTTTTCCGAAACTGAGTGGCAGAGTAAGTATTCAAATTCAGGCCTAACAGATGCAAGAATTTAGCTTGATCTGACAGCCCATGGACCTATGTATGGTACCCCAATTCCCCAATGCACCGGCTAGCCTTGAGGCTTGAAACTGGAAATAACTTATCAAGGTACAAACTAACAATCAACAGAATACCTCTAGCCCCAATTGTATCCCTATTTGCTTCCAGATTCTTGGTAATGACCCTACTTTCAAGCTCAGACCAATGGGCCAAGCTCAGACTTTGATATCTAGGGTTACTATTGCAAAGAACTGATCCAGGTCCTGGGTTTATAACTATTAAGTCCTTAACACCTGAGGATATTACATGTGATTAATATTCTTAATTCATTGAATTGTACTTCTGGATGGGGGCATCTGGTGGAGATAGAATTGTGAACCAGAATGAAAATATTTATCCTAGAACTTGCATTTTAATGAGTGTGAGCAATAAACCTAGAGCACATTAAAATATCCCACTAGATCCAACAATGATTTAGTGAGTACTTCTATGCCAGGTTCTGTGTTTGGCACTGCAGATAAGAGAAAAAAAGAGATTATTCTCTCATTGTGCCTAGGCAACCCAAATAAATTTACATCTGTAATTTCTTTTTTTTTTTTTGCTTGTAAGTTACATTATTTAACTGTTTGACTTACTTTCTTATTAATGGCAGGAGCCCCCCCCCCCCCACACACACACATCTAACAAAAAATGCTCATTTCCCAATTGTGTGAAAAGACAAACCATAACAAATTTAACGTGAAGATTTTGATTGGCTTTTATTTGAACTTCCTGAATCTGGCAACACCTTATTCTCAGCAGAATGAATGTGCGGATAAGCTGAGCCGAAGAGTGGTTTCAAAGAAAAGGACGCAGGAAAGTAGAAACAGAACAAAGGGGGATTATTTCGAAGATACTTTACTTTGTAAAGCTGTAAGCTGAGGGACTTTTCTTTTAAAACTGTTCAGTTTGGGAATTTAGCTATTAACCTTGGAACTGGCTAAAGTTTCTCTATACCTGTGCAGAACTGTGTGGAACAGCCAAAGCCATATTCCCTGTGGCCACCTAAAGAGTCAGATCAGAGTAACTAGGGGAAACTGGGAATGGTAAGCGGTGGATTTGGCAACTGCCAAAGGACTTTCAGGCACTCGTTAGAATGATAAGGAAAGCACGAAGTGGGAGAGAGGAACAAACCTGTTCTCCTAGGTCGGGTTCAACCCCATCAAAACACCTGTCTCCAGGTGCTACGTGAATCTAACCAATCAGAAAGGGAGTTACAATGAACACTAGCTCCGGCATCCAATCCAAGAAAATGTCTCAGACTCCGCCGCGGGGCCGGCTAGCGCTAAGCTTGTTCGCCATCACTCGCAGGACAGCTGCGCACTCTTGCGCCGGCAGCAGCGCGGATCTGGGGCAGTCCGGGTTGTTAACTGCGGTGCGGACGCCCGCTACTGCGCAGGCGTCTCAGGAAGAGCTCGGCCTCGCCCCTCTCCCTCGCGGTTCCTGTCGCTAGCAAGTACCCACGAGTACCGGATTCCGCCAGTGCCGGGTTCCGCTAGCGCGGAGTTCCGTGCGGTGGCGAGACGCGGCGGGAGCTGCGGGCGGCGACCGGTGAGTCTGAGCTTCGCCCTCCTGGCGTCCTGAGGGAAATGCCACTCGCTCCCGAGTCGGCTAGGGGGGTTGAAAATAAAGCTGGCGAGACTCTTTCCTCGCTCGCGATCCAGACCACACGCACGCACGCGCACACGCACTCCCGGACGCCGGCGGGGGCTCCGCGAAGAACCCCTGGAGGCACGGAGGGAGCTAGTGGGCCGAGAGGCAGGCGGGGAGCGGTGAGGGGAGAGGAAAGAAAACTCGGCAGGTGGACGCGGCAGCGGGGAAGAGGAGCTGTAGGGCTTGGGGTGCGGGGAGGGAAGTTGGCTGAACTGCAGTGGAAGGGGCCAGGCTGGGCCGGGGATGAAAGTGGAGGGCGACGGGGCGGGGTGGCCAGGTGCAGCGCTCGGGGACGGAAGGCGTTTGCTTTTAAGGGAACACTATCCAGGGACGTGCGTCTGTCTGCATATTAGTTTAGGTACTACCTATGATTATTTAATTGTGTTTAAAACTTAGTTTTCTAGAAAACAAGCAAGCCAGACAGTAAAAAGATGCCATTTAAGTGCTTTTTTAATGGGCCAGGTATTGTGTTAAGTACTTTACAAACAATGCTACAACTTCTTGAAATAATAGCGGCCTATTTTACAGATGAGGAAAGTGAAGGGACCTGTCCAGGATCGTACAACTAATGACAAGCAAGTTTACATGAGGTCTGACTCCAGAAGGGCTTTTCTGAAACAGCAGGCGATCTAAAGACTTGACAAATACTGTAGGACATCAGCTGCCTGTTTCTGTATTATGGTTTTTCTTTCCACTCTCCACTCCCCAGAGATTGTTTCAGTCTATTTTTACAGAAATGAGCTTGCAAACACTCATTCTCTCCTTCCTCCCCCTTTATCCCTCTCCCTCATCTTCTTTCTCCTACCTTACACAAGTTGCAAAATATAATTCGGAAGAAATTTTGATGAAAACAAAGAGTACATTCAGAGTGGTATTTTGCAATGTCAAATGAGTGTTACTGATTTGAATATGGTAGAAAATTTTGCATGCTAGAAAATTGGAGAATAACTTAGAATCCTAGATTTTTAAGACTGAGAAAGTTTTTTAGGGAGTTGTTATAGTTTTTCCTCAGACTGTTAATGAATTAACTTATAATAGCAGGGCATGGTGGTGCATGCCTATGGTTGGGGAGGCTGAGGCAGGAGGATCACAAGTTCAGCCTCAGCAATTTAGCCAGACATTATCTCAAAATTAAAAAAAAAAATGTGTGTGTGTGAGGGTGAAAGATATGGGGAGAGATAATCTAAAGGTAGTCATTGATATTATCTACACAGACAATTGTTGGGAGCTGTCTTGGATGCAGAGGTTTTAAAGTCCTGATGCACCGGGGGTTCAGAACAATTATTGCACCCCGCAAAACTTTAACTTTACCTCTGCTTGGATAATGAGGCGAGGCGTGGCTCCAGGAGTAGGCAGTCATCTGTGGAGTTAAGTTACACTTTTCTGTTCCTTGATAATCCTACCCCTTTGCTCTTTTTGGGATAGACTATTCCATGGAACAGCCTCCCCTAATAAAACCCTGGGTTTGAGGCATGCTCTCTTTTTCTTGCCTGACTTGCCTCCTTTGTGAGAGCTGCATCAGAGAAGCCATCACAGAACCCAAGAAAAAGGTATTTCTCTGTCTCTGTGTGATTATTTCATGCCAGCCCAGTTCATCTGGAGTGACTCTGGTTTAATCGTGTGTTGTGACAGACAATAATGCTGTTTTAAAGCTGATAGGTGTTTCATTGTACGGCAGGGCAGGTGGACTGCTCATGGTGATAGATATCCTTTCCCAACTTCACAAGGGCTAAGAATGCCAGTGAGAGTTGACTGACAGGCCTTCCATCTAGGCAAGAAAGTCATCCCAGAGGAGGTAGGAGTCCCCTGAGTTGGGATATCACATTGTAGGAACTTCCAGTTGCTGTTGGGATATAGAGCAAATAGGTCTTCTTTTTTCCTTTCCTTTTGATATATATATATATATATATCATATATATATATCATATATATATCATATATATCATATATATATATCATATATATATATATATAATTTATGAATAATATATAAATAATAAATTTATTTATTTATTTTGTGATGAAAAATAACAGTTTCTCCCAGTCATTTATAATGTAACTATTTCGTTCCTTAAAAACTACTTGAGCGCTAGGGAGGCTGAGGCAGGAGGATGTGGAGTTCAAAGCCAGCCTCAGCAAAAGCAAGGTGCTAAGCAACTCAGTGAGACCCTTTATCTAAATAAAATACAAAAGAGAGATGGGGTTATGACTCAGTAGTCGAGTGTTCCCTGAGTTCAGGTCCTGGTCCTCCTCCCACCCACCCAAAAAAATTACTTGAGAACTCCTCACTGGTGATTTGCTTATAGCTAACATTTGCTGTTAGAATGAAACAGAATGTGGTAGACATAAATCTAGGCAGGTAAAGCTGTGTTAACAGTTTGGAGCATATTACTGGATTTGTTAACTTGCTAGTACTAGACTTGTACAGTTATTGAGAACATGAAATTAGTAAAAGCACAATAAAGCTACTAATTGCTGGACTTCAACTTTATCATATTTAAAGAGATTAGCTAAATTATTCATAATTTATTTTATAGTTTTATAATAATATTCTGCCTGTCATGGTACAGATTTTTTTTTCTAACATAACAGCTTTGTAACTAGAGTAGATAATAGAAACTAATTTTGAGGGCCTGTTCTGTAACTTTTCTGCATTCCCAATTTTAAACACAAGGAAACTGAAACTGAAAGAAAATAGATTTGAAAAAGATCACCCATCTACTAAGCTCATTATTCTGGGATCTTTCTGACTTCAGAGTCTATAGTCTTTTTGCTTTGTCCATGTTACTGAGCTTAATGATAAGGACAGGCACATTTGGGTCCAAGTAGTGTGTGCTGAGAGATTACTGAACCCTAGAGTTAATAGCCAGGATTCTTTGAGCATCCTTTATACTCAAGATTAGGGGAAGGATTTTGATTTGTATTTTGAGAAGGACAAACACAGGATTTTTTGTTGTGGTGGTGTTTTGGGAAGTGGTATACAGTATTTTCACATTTAAGCACTCAAATCTGTATTATGGGGGCTGAGGTTGTGGCTCAGTGGTAGAGCGCTCACCTACCACATGCAAGGCACTGGGTTCGATCCTCAGCACCACATAAAAATAAAAAATAAAATAAAAGTATTGTGTCCAACTACAGCTAAGAAAAAAATCTGTATTATGGGATACACAGTTCACATACTTTTGTGGTAAAATGAGATGACAAAAGATATTTCCTGTTCTGTGGTGGGGCATTTAAGAATATAATTTCACTTCCTTCTACTTTTAAAAATGTAATACTTTTATTGGGGTATTAATCATGTGCCATTCAGTTTGCTCATTTAAAGTGTGCAACTTTATGGAATTATTCAACCATCACTACAATCAATTTTAAAACATTTTCATCACCTCCCCAAAAAGCCTCATACCCACTAGTGTTTGCTCCCCATTCTCTCCCAGTGTCTAGCCCTAGGTAATTACTGATATACTTTCTTCTCTATAGATTTGCATTTTCTAGGCATTTCAGCTAAATGGAATCATGTAATAGGTGATCTTTTGTGACTGCCTATTTCAYTTACCCTAATGTTTTGTTGTTTATCCAAGTTGTAGCACATTTTAGTACTTCATTCATTTTTATTGTCAGATATTGTATTATGTGGGTGTACCACATTTTATTTAGTTGTTGGTGGAATAGTTTCCACTTCTTGATGATTCTGCCGTCAACCTTTGTCTGCAAGTTTTTGTGTGGATATACGTTTTCATTTCTCTTGGGTAAATAGCTGATATTAGAATTGTTGGGTCTTATGGTAATTCTTTAACCTCTTTGAAGAATTGCCTGGATATTTTTATTTTTTTAAGGGTGGCTGTACCATTTTACATTCCCACTAGCAGTTTATGAAAATTCAGATTTCTCTATATACTCTCCAATACTTGTTACTAATCTTTTCTATTTAACCATGTTAGTGGATGTGGTATCTCAGTTGATTTTTTAATTTGCATTTCTTTAATGACTAATATGTTAAGCATCTTTTTATGTGTTTATTTGTTATCTGTATCTTCTTTGGAGAAATATATTTTTAATTCCTATGCTCATTTTTAAATTGGATTATTTGACTTTATGTTAGTGAGTTGTAAGTTTTATTATATATATAATCTAGGTACAAATCTCTTACCAGACATATGATTTGCAACTATTTTCTTCCAATTCTGTGGGTTGTCTTTCACTTGCTAGATGATCCTTTGAAGCACAAAACTTAATTTTGATGAAGTCCAGTTCTTTTGTTGTTGTTGTTGTTATTTGTGTTTTTGGTGTGGTATCTAAGAAGGTTTTACTTAATCCAAGATTATAAAGATTCATTCCTATATTTTCCCCTAAGAGCATTACAACTTTAGTTCTTAACTTAGGTTCATGGTCAATTTTGAGTTAATTTTTATATGTAGCAGAAGATGGATTCTCCAAATTCATTCTTTTGCATGTGGATATTCAGTTGTCCTCATACCATTTACTGAATTGATGTGCCACCCCTCTACTCTTAGAAGTAACTATTGGAAAAATTTTGGACATACTCTGATATTCCATTTGTAGTCATTCCTCTAGGGCTTAGTTTTTTAAAAATAAAACTTTATTGTGTTGAAGCTCAAACAGTGTTGTAAAGAAGTCTTGGTGTTGTAAAACAAAGTTGATTTAAGTATAAATCCTATCTATCTTTCCAAGACGACAGCCTAATTATTTTGATTATTTGTACCCCTGTTTTGAGTATAATGTATTTTAAATGGCATATGTATATATATATACATATTTATATATTTGCATTCAAGAATTAGTTATGTTTGGGGGCTGGGGATGTGGTTCAGGTGGTAATGCGCTTTCCTGGCATGTGGGGGGCGCTGGGTTCGATCCTCAGCACCACAAAAAAAAAATAAAATAAAGATGTTGTGTCCAYCGAAAACTAAAAAATAAATATTAAAAAATTCTCTCTCTCTTTAAAAAAAAGAATTAGTTRTATTTGATATTTGTTGAATGATTGTTTAAAAATTATCTAAAAGAATGTCTGAGCAAGGCTTCATGTGTAGAAAATAACTTAAAAATGTTCTGGAAGCACAAACTATTACTAAAGAGTGGTTACAGGTCACTTAGAAGTTACCAAGATAAGTAACAATTATCTTTTACATGTCTTTGTAATACAGTGCAGTATAATGGATGAAAGGTAAGGTTGGTAGTTATTTCAGTACCCATTTCACAGTAATTTACAAGCATRTTTGATCTAGGTATGGGAGGAATTTGGACTTTAGTATCCTTTGAACTTTTTTTTAAGTGAAATATTGTGAAGATTGAGTGCCAGGAAGATTAAGTTGGCAGCAGATGTTGGGTGACAAGGGGGAAGATGATTAAGGTAAGAAGGTGAGTTAGAAGACAGAAGAGCCACAGACAGAGGTATTGAGGACTTCAAGGAGTACAGCAGCAGTGGAGACAGGAAAGAGTGGGTAGCTGTTAAAAATGCAGATTTTTGGCCTGAACTCTAGACTGACTGAATCATAATTTTCTAAGTGTAGATTGGACATCTGCACTTTTAACAGCTCTCTTCAGTGATTCTTGCTACAGTCTTGTACTAGATGATATAAAAAGTGAGGATTGACTAGACTGGTTGACAGGGTACTAAGACATCTGTGTGTCTGAGTGAATGGTGAAGTTATTTCCACTAATGAAGGGGAAAAATTTAGAAGTGTAGAGAATGCATTCCTTCTTATATATATCTGATTGTACTTTTCAGCAGAATAGTTTTCGCAGTGGATTGGTTGGGATATAGAATGATTACTTAGGGATAAAGCCAGGTTGTAAATAATGCATTTTTTAAAAAGTATATTTATCTTTTGTCCTTGAAAAGATACTGTGTCATGTCTTTGCTATTTTAATTTACTCTTATTGGACAAATATTTGAGAATCAGGAAGTACCTGTACTCAGAGTAACTAGGAATCTACAGAATCCAAGACTTCATGGAGATCTTGTGCCTTTGACATAAGTTCTCAAATTGCTGGAACCTACACCACCAGCTCACATAATAGTGTTGTCTGATTGAACAATATTCTCCTCTGAAAGAGGAGTTGAGTTATGCATAAACTCTATGGTAGAGTACAACACAAAACACTGAATGAAAATGGAAGTTCTACTAAATGGATTCTTGATAGCTGGAATTGCAGGCACAGTACGATGGGGGCTGTATCTGTAGGAGTGTGCTTCATCTATTACTCATTAGAATTGTCACTCTGTCCTATTGAAAGGTAGTTTGATTTTGTTATTCTGCACCATTTCTGGTTTCTTTGATGGCATCAGCAACARATGTCCAAAGTACCACATTCAGATTGCCACCTATCTCATATTGATATGGTAGAGGATCTTCCAGACAAAAGACCTTCACAAATATGATTTTGTACCTTTTGATTTCAGAACTTTAAGTCATTGGTTTTCAGAGAATCACAGCTTCAATCTCTAAGTATTTGAATGACTACCAGGACACAGATGTACAATAAATATACAGTGAATGGTTTGTGAACTTAACAATCATTATTAGCTAGCTTGCTGCTATTAAAGCTGCATGCTCCTGTAGCCAGACCCAAGGATTTCTGAAATAATGAACTGTATATCTCATTCTGATCACAACCTTGCATCTTTGCAACTTTCATGGAAAGTTATTCCTAAGACATCTGTTCTTTGACTCCATCAGAATCTTTAGTTCAAAAACCTCTCTACTTCCTGCATATCGGAAGTTTCAGCCTAGATACTTGCAACTTGAATTTCAGCCACTCTTTTTTTTTCTTCTTTTTAAGACAGGATCTTTCCGTGTTGCTTAGGTCCTTGCTGTGTTGCTGAAGTTGAACTTGGGATCCTCCTATCTCAACCTCTTAAGTCCCTGAGATTACAGATATGTGCCAGCCTACTGGCTTTAGCTATTCTTTAGTCAACATCTTCAGCCTAATCATCTTTCAGTTTCAGCCAGAATCTGAAGCTTGGGTTTGATCAGCTGCCTTTTGCTCATGCCTGTGCCCGGGCCACTGAGTTGATAGGGAAAACAATGTCACTTGTGAAAATCCATGATACCAGCTATTAGCATTACCCACCAATGTTACTCTTTCTTCATTTTCTCTCCCATTCTCCACATTGACCATTCCATACATTTTCTATAGTCCTTAAATCTCTGAACCTTTTTCCACCTTACTCTCTTTCAATAATTGACCCTATTTCCAGCAATGCAGAGAGGGCAGCTCCCTTCACCCTTAGCTTTTGCTCCTTCTGTCCTGACGATGGAAGGTGTATCCTGTCCATCTAAAGCAAATCGTTCTGCTTAAACCATATATTCTATTTTCTTAGAGACTAAAGAAGGTGGAGAATGAAGGCAAGGATATTTATTAGATGAAAGGAGTTTTTGAATTATTTTCAAAAATAACAAATAACAAATAACAAATAGTTATGTCTTCCACAGTAAARTGGAAGATTAAGAGGGATGTGATGATGAAATTGATTTCAGCAGCTGTTGAATTTCTTCAGAAGTTAGTCAACTTCATGTAAATATTGGGATTGTACAGACTGAGTGGAGATATTTTTCTTAAATAGCATTTATTTCTTAATCTCCTTTTTTAAGCCAGTATTTTTTAATAAGAATGGTCAGTGAGCCAAAATGGTAGAATTTCCACTAGTTATTTCTATGAATTGAACTATAGGATACTGTTTGGTAAACTAGAAAAATAATCTGTTTCTCTGGAACTTATGAAATCTTGATATTGTTTGTATTTTGTACAAAAGAATTGCTTTTATTTTTCCGCTTTCTGTTAAGCCTTTAGAATAATTTCTACTGCTACAGAGAACAGGACTGTCAAGCACGAGTGTTTACTGGGGGGGGGGGGAAGAATGACCCATCTTACCTTCACAGCATGAAGGCTGAAGTAGGACATGTATAATGGGAAATTGGAGAATTAAAGGCAATTTTAATTTTTTTCCAACTTTAGCTTTAGTAAATTAACCTTAAATGACATTTCGTAATTTTTAAGTTGATATAGGTGAAGCTGGCATATAAAAGGTATATGAATATTGATTCTCATCACCTATTGGTTGAACTTATGAATCGTAATCCAAATCAAATAGCATTACTACTTATGATTTGTGTTTTTATATTTTAGGAACCCTGATTGCTGTCCTTCAACGTGTTCATTATGAAGTTATTAGTAATACTTTTGTTTTCTGGACTTATGACTGGTTGTAGAGGTAACTCTTCATATAGTTTGCCACCCAAGTTACTGCTGGTGTCTTTTGATGGCTTTAGAGCTGACTATCTGCAGAACTATGAATTTCCTCATCTCCAGAATTTTATCAAAGAAGGTGTCTTGGTAGAACATGTTAAAAATGTTTTTATCACAAAAACATTTCCAAATCACTATAGCATTGTGACAGGCTTATATGAGGAAAGCCATGGCATTGTAGCCAATTCCATGTATGATGCAGTCACAAAGAAACATTTTTCTGATTCTAATGACAAGGATCCTTTTTGGTGGAATGAGGCAGTACCTATTTGGGTGACTAATCAGCTTCAGGAAAACAGATCAAGTGCTGCTGCTATGTGGCCTGGTACTGATGTACTCATTCACAATACCACACCTTCCTATTTTATGAATTATAGCATCTCAGTGTCATTTGAGGAGAGAGTAAATAACATTACGACGTGGCTCAGCAATTCGAACCCACCAGTCACCTTTGCAACACTCTATTGGGAAGAACCAGATGCAAGTGGCCACAAATATGGACCAGAAGATAAAGAAAACATGCGCAGGGTATTGAAAGAAATAGATGACCTCATTGGTTACCTAGTCCAAAAGCTCAAGATGTTAGGATTGTGGGAAAATCTTAATGTGATTATTACAAGCGATCATGGGATGACTCAGTGTTCTGAGAACAGATGGATAAACTTGGATCTCTGCATCGATCGTTCGAACTACAGTCTTATAGATTTGAGCCCAGTTGCTGCAGTGCTCCCCAAAATAAGTAAGTAGACTTTTAGCTGAGTGATACTATTATTTGAATGGAGCATTTGGTTGAGGAGGGAGAGTTGTATCAAAGAATGAAATGCTGGCTTTTTGTAGTTCAGCTCTATACTCAGAATACTAAATAGAGTAGGATGTTTTTTCCTTCCTAATTTACAAATTTTGAGCGATTGGTAGTTATTATTCTTTTTATTTATTTTAAAATTATTCACACTAAGGGAAAAAGGATATTTTTGCTTTTAAAGAAATCTTGGATTTTAGTGAGATATATCTTTCTTCTACTTATCATAAAATTAGTAATTGGTAGTAAAACATAACTTATGTTTACTTGGGAATCTCCATATAAATATTGTTTCTTTCTATAAAGGTGGATAATCATTTTGTGGATTACCACAAAATGAAGAGGAGTTTGTGAATGCTTGATAAAGGGATGTGTGTGTGTGTTGTGTTGTGTGTGTGTGTGTGTGTGTGTGTGTGTGTGTGTGTCCATCCTCAACACTGTCACATAATTCTGCTCTGTTGTTTTAAGAATTCAGTTATTTAATAGATGACATTGTCCAGATCTAATTCCAGCTAATCTAGTTAGATATGTTTTTCCTTATCAGGTAACCATGACTTTTTTCCTTTGCTGTTTCTTTTTTATAGATATAACAGAGGTTTATGAAAAACTGAAAAACTGTAGCYCTCACATGAATGTTTATCTCAAAAAAGACATTCCTGACAGATATTATTACCAACATAATGATCGAATTCAGCCAATTATATTGGTTGCTGATGAAGGCTGGACAATTGTACTAAATAAATCATCATCAAAATGTAAGTATTTATTTAGGGTATTTCTGTTGTATCCTAGGAATACATCACACACTGTGACACTGTTCTGTTAAAAGGGCACTTTGATTTAGATATATTCACACAGTATTATTAGTTCAATTTCCTATTAGATGATGGTCAGGTTTTCATTCAATAGTAATTTACAATAACTAYAATTTCACTTTTCAACTAGAAGGATAAGTAACCTTAAGGATGAAGCTGTAGATTTGCTTTTTTTTCATGGCTCTGGAGATTGAATACAGGGCCTTATGCATGCTAGGCAAGCACTCTACCAATGGAGCTATATCCCCAGGCCACAATTTACTTAAAAAAAAAAATCAAAAGTGCAGTTACTGTCAGCAATTTTCAAGATGGTTCTCTTGATTTGTAGAAAAAAGAAGGGAACCTAAGGAAACAAATTTAAAGAAGAGAGATTAGCTATTTCAAATACCTTTTTTTTTTTTTTAGAGAATCTTTGTGTGTGTGTGTGTGTGTATATGTGTGTGTGTGTGTGTGTGTGTTTGTAGATGGACACACACTGTGCCTTTATTTTTATTTGGTGCTGAGAATTGAACCTGGGTTCCAGGTGCGCTATTTCCTTGAATATAATAAGCTATTTAGAATACTAGACAAGAATCAGAAAGTAAACAAACAGAAAAATCCAACAAGTAAACACGTGTATCAAAATCTCTCCTTAAACAGAGAATATGTAGGGGTGAGTTTTAGGTCATGCTGCAACTGAAGTTCATTTGTCCATATTTTATGTTCAATTTTAATACTTTAAAAAATAATCTGTAAAAAATAGAGTAAAAAATTATACTCCTTTGCAGGGGTCAGTAAACATTTTTTTTTTTTTTATAAAGTGCCAGTTTGTAAATATTTTAGGCTTTGTGGACCATTGATTGGTCTCTGTCTGAGCCACTCAACTCTTCTTTTATAATGCAAAAGCAGCTACAAATAGTATGTAAGCAATTGAAGTGGTGTGCTGCAGTGAAACTTGGTTAACACAAACAGGTGGAGGGCCAATTTTGGATATGGGCTGAAATTATCAGATCTCTGATGTATAGCAATCTAGGAGAATTAGGCAAGGACAACACAGCCTCGGAGTCAGTGGGGTTTGTGTATTATATTTATGCTATTTTATAAACTCATTATTTTAAACTTGGAAAATATGGGAAAGAGAACAAATCTATCCATAATCCCTCAATACAGATATAGACAAATATTAATTGTAGGAGTTTTCCTCTCCTATTCTTTTTTTCTATTACATATGTAGGCAGATTTTAATATTATTAAAATCATAACATCTATCTATATTTTGCTTTTTGTCATATTGATCAAATTCTTTATTTTGAAATATTCTAAATTTACAATTAATAATGTAACATACATCGATACTTATCATTTAGTCATCTAAATTTGAAAGTGGGAATTTATTAAATGCAACTTATGTACATTAAAAGACAGTATTTGTTAAAACAAAGTTAACACTTGTGAATCTAGTATTGGAGTTCCATTAGGGACCATTCTCTGTTTTTCTTTGAGTCAGACTTTTATTGGAATTACAAGTTGGAGTAATCTTGTTGCATTTTACATTTGATACAAGAATCCCTCTTGTAAAATTCTCATCCATCTTACCATCCTGTTTTCAAGCATTTATTAAATCTTAGTAAGCCAGTACATTATGCCATCCTATTTCTTAATCACAGGAGCAATTGAGATGAGTAAGGCTGCAGATTAACTTTTCCATTCATTGGTCTTCTGCCCTGTTCAGCCTGACAGCACTTTTTATCAATGGTGCTGTTTTTAAGTGAGTTTTTACAAATAGTGCTGGAGATTGAGAGATGAAGTAAGTGGGGCTAGTACTAAAAGGTAAGTACATTAGGTTGAGAAGTAGTGTTAAAGTCTGAGGCCATGGTGCAATGGGCTAAGGGGTGTGTGTGTKAAATAGGGGACACGGTTGAGTTGAAAATACAAATTTTTATTTCTGGCTCCTGTCTGGTTCAACTAATCAGAATCTTAATAGAAGAGAATTAGGCTATCAAGAAGTATATTTACACTAGAAGTGAGTTTTTTATTGATTATATTTACTAACATCATTTTGTTCTTTTTCAGTAGGTGACCATGGTTATGATAATTCTTTGCCCAGTATGCATCCGTTCCTAGCTGCCCACGGCCCTGCATTTCACAAAGGCTACAAGTATAGCACCATTAATATTGTGGATATTTATCCAATGATGTGTCATATCCTGGGATTAAAACCACATCCTAATAATGGAACCTTTAGTCATACCAAGTGCTTGTTGGTTGACCAGTGGTGCATTAATCTCCCAGAAGCCATTGGTATTGTTATTGGTGCACTCTTGGCATTAACCACTCTAACATGCCTCATAATAATTATGCAGAACAGACTGTCTGTACCCCATTCGTTTTCCCGACTTCAACTACAAGAAGATGATGATGATCCTTTAATTGGGTAACATGTACTGAGATTTATACAAAGTGTCTTTGCATAATCTCAAAACTAAGGATATATCCTAGGAATGATGTTTTAACTTTTTAACCATGAAAAAGTATACTTTGAAAGACAACTTAGACCAAGCATGCTAAAATTACTTTTTTCCCTTGTGTTTTGTTTTGGCTCATTAGCTAATACAAATAACCCTATCCATAGTAAAAATGCTAGTAAATCAGTTAACACCATCTATTTCTCTAATTAGACATAGCTTTTGAGAAAAATACTATGCTTTCTTTTTCTCTTTGCAATGAAGATGATACATTTAAAATGAAAATATACCAAATTTAGTAGATGTGTTTTTCTAATAAATTTATATATTTGTAAATGAAAAAAAAMCAGAAATCTTTATGCAATTCATGAATTTTATGTATCAGGAAGGAAAAGTTTTCTATATTTTTATATTTACCCTTATTCAATTTGTATCCCAAATAAGTCCTTGAGGTAGGAAATTCTGTGATGGTTAATAAAATTGGTTAGTCAGGCAGAAAAAAAGTTCTACCATACAAAGAAATCATCTTAAGGAAAGCTATTAAAAATCACATAAAAACTAAGACCATGTGATACAAAGCTTGAGTTGTCACTGGTGTATGTTTAAGTCCTTTAAGCTGTTGAAATCTCAAAATGTATATCTTTTGAAGAAGATTATTGCTAATGAGAAATTCAAAAGAAAACAAAGGAAAGTGCTCTTCTCAATTTGTGTTTAATGGCTTTATATAAGTTATTGATGTATGTGTATGCAGAAGTGTGTTTGCATGTGTAGGTGTGTAGATGTTATTACAGGAGGAGGTTAGAAGGGACTGGACTGTGGTCAGGTTTCCACAATCCTGTAGAGCACAGCTCTCAGGGGAATGTTATTTTTGTACTTCATTTTGGTTTAGTTTCACCTAACTCACAATCTAAATCCAGAACTTTAGAAAACTTGTTATTTTTTGTTTCCATTTTAAATTTTTTTTCCTGAAATATTCAAGTATAGAGAAATTTATGACCTGAATACAATTTTGAATTTGATTGGGTCATAATGATGAAAGGAGATTTTTATATTTACTTTGTGACTTTATATCTTACTTTTTAGATAGTAGAGTAGGTAAGAAATTTATAAAATGGAATTTGGAGATAGGTGCATTGGTACACACCTGTAATCCCAGTTACTTTGGAGGCTGAGACAGGAGGATCATAAGTTGAAGGCCAACCTGGGTACTTAGCAAGACCCATTCTCAAAGTAATTTTTTTTAAAAGACCATCCATGGACATAGCTCAGTGTTTAGAGTGCTAGCCTGGCATGTGGGAGTCTCTGAGTTCAGTCCTCAGTACTACAAACTTTTTTTTTTTTCAAGAAAATAAGTTTAGTGTCTTTTAATTTTTGTACCATTCCTACGTGAAGTGACAGAATAGTGTTAGTGCTGCCTCTGTTTTTTCCTCTAGTATTTGGAATCACAGAAATAATCAATTTCATATCTTTAAATATAATTCTTCAGAGCTAAGGGTTTATGTGAATAACTGTCATCCTACCTTTATTAAGTAGCACCTTCTAATAATTAAAATTAATTTGAAGAAATTGAGTTGTGGCAGTATAGATTATATCCATTGGAAAAATTGGATTTAAAAATCATTCATCAGGACCTGAGAAAAACAATGAATAGTGTGGTCTTTAAAGTTTTGGCAGTATAAAACACACTTGGTAACTGTTTTCAGAAACAGTTATAATCTGTAGTAAATATATAGCTCAGTTAAATGTTGATGTCTGTGATGATAAAGAACAACACTGGTGTCAGTCTTAAAACATATAATGTATCTGTGGGGGTCTCTGCTAATTTCCTGATCCTAATATTTGGTGCCCATTATATTTGGGATTTTTGAGAGGCATTTCTATACCCTGTATAGATAATCCATGCTATTGGTTATAAGTTGAATTAAGAACAGTATAGACCTGATTTTGCTTTTTGATAAATTTTCTGATTTTTTAATTAGTTGATCTCAATATTAAGTAATTAAAAAGTTCCTTTCTACCTTAATTATCATTTAAAAAATAACAATGGCTATAATTGTCACATTTAAAACTTTTTTTCCTCTAAGTCATGGATATTTTTGGAAAGTCCAATATTTTCAGAATATTTGATACTAGTTGAATGGAGCTTGGTCCTTGCAACATTATGATTTTTAGTGATTGCATTAACTTGATTGGTGGTTATGAGTTTCAGAACTCTACAGGGTATCCAAACCTTGTGTGAATTTTACATAGGATGAAATAGAAAGGGTTGTCCTCTCAGTGTTTAACCCCTTCACTAAGAGGTATGTACTTATTTTGTCTTTCATTCCATTCTCAAAATACTATATTAAGTAAATTTTTAATGTATATTGATGAGACAAGAAGAATAGTATATATCATTAAATTGAACTTTATGGTAATTCCCTTGTATATTTWAAAAAAATGATTCCTGTAATAGTCTGAGAAAGTCTTGTAAAATTAGCCTTTTACATTAAGGTTTTAATGTGTATTTTGTTAAATGATTAATGTGCCCTTGTGTTTTCTGGGTATTAGAAAGCATTTCAATATAGAAATATAGAACTATTTAATGCAACTCTCAAAGGTAATAGGAAAACTTTGGATTAACTTTGGTTAATTCATTGTGAGTTCAACATAAGTACATTTATTTATAGCATAGGGACAATTGTGCTGCTGTTGATAATGTACAAGTTTGTCTGATAAACAGCAATAGAATAAAAATATTATTGTACTAGGCTTCCTTTAAAAATTTACAGATAAATTCTTAGAACATTAAAGGAATAAAATGCCTTTACAGTGTTTTTGTATCTCTCCCCCCCTGCAAAATCTTGTAAGCTTTAAGGATTATTACATTTAATTCCTCTATTTGAAGGGATTTACTTCATTGTTAATGCRAAGTTAGACATGAAGGACAAAGATTAGATGTAAAGTATTTATTATCAATTCTTAAAATAATGTGTAAATAAAATGAGTATGCTTTAAAGAAATTTGTATGTACTACCTTAAGTTAAAGTAAAACATATTTTTACTGTATTGTTTGAATTTGTAGATAATGACTTTGCATATGATTAAAAAATTTATGTGAATAAAATCTACCAAAACATTATGTTTTAAATATGTTGTCCATTTGCAAAATATACCTATTATGATAGATATATTGTCAAGATTTCAGTGATTCTGCAAAAACCTCTACAGTCATTCATTACAGGTTTTATTTTTTTACCCCTGGACCAAAAATGTAACATTTAACTAGAGATTTAAAACAGTGTGTAAAATGTACAGTCTAGCACAAGAACATCATTGGAAAGAAGTTGCAGAGCCTCCAGAATTGTAATTTATTGACTTAAAGTAGAAGGGAAGAAGTTTTAAAAGCTGATTGCAAAACAGTAGAGGAGTGGTTATAGTGTTTAAGCTTTGTTTCATTTGTAGCTAAAAATACTTAATAACTTATCTAGATGAATGTAGATTTAACACAGTTCCCTCTAGTAGAAGAGAGATTAATTCATTTTATGTTTTTATGTTCAGTGAACGCTGCTAAGAACTGTGGGWAAAACATAAAAGATACTTTCTTTACTTTGAAAGAGAGTTCTTTAGAAAGTGGGAAAACTTTATACCAACAAATTAGTTATACTTACTTATGACTTAACTCTTGCCGCTGAGATCCTTGGATTAAGACTAATTTTTCTAGGCCCTGTGCTTCCCTGTACCAGCTTTACCTCTTCTCACTAACACACATAGCTGCTGCTTGGGAGGGTATGTGAGAATCCCAATGTTCCAACTGGGTCCTGGGATGTGGTCACACAAACATTCTAATTTGTACCCTAATGTATGCATGCATAGATGATTGTTAGTGTCAAATCTACTTGTCTTATAACTCATGTCCCAAAGTCAAAATTTCCTGGGAGACAAAGGCAGTCTACACCCACAGAATAAGTCAAACTGCCACTCATACTTTCTGCATTTCCACACATCATCTTTTGACCCTTAAAATCTAATTTTCACCATCAATAAATTGAACTTAATGAACTCTTCTACTGACAGCTCCATGATGATTATACACAGATATATACATGTCTCCAGCCCAGACCTCCTTTCTATATGAAAGATCTGGATTGCTATTTATTTAATCAGCATTCTTTTCATTTCTGCCATGCTTAATCTCACTTTCATAGACAAGGGGTGATGGAAAGGATCAATCAAAATTAACTACCAAACAAACCTGGATAACCACACTATGCACATGCACATTTTATAAAGGGGTTCTTAGCAGTTAGACACAGTGTGGCTGATGCACTTAGAGTTTTAGCTAGCTTTTTGGCCTTGATGACCAAAAGACCTAACAAGAACAATATTTGAGGAGGAAAAGATTATTTGGTGATCACAATTTCAAAGGTCTCAGTTTATAGATGGCCAACTCCATTGCTCTTGGCCCTAGGTGAGGCAGAACATTATGGAGGAAGGTCATGGAGGAGGAAAGCAGTCTAGGACATAGCAATCAGGAAGCAGAGCTCCACTCACCAGGGACAAAATATATACTTCAAAGGCACACCGCCAGAGGCCTGCCTCCTCTAGCCATATCATATCTGTCTACAGTTATCAACTAATTAATCCATATCAGCGATTAGTGCACTGATTAGGATAAGACTCTCATAACCCAATCATTTCACCTCTAAATTTTCTTGCATTGTCTCATACATGAACTTTTTGGGGACACCTCATATCTGAGCTATAACACTTAGTATTTGAATTATCCACTGAGGAGAACAAATGTTGATTTACACTCAGAATTTCTGTGAGGATTTACCTTGCACCTCCCTCAGGACTTTTTTTCTTTTTTAAACTCTTAAAAGGATATGTAGTAATTGTGTTTCCAGTAATGGCAAACTATGTGATAGACCATGTGATTGAAAGAGTCCTCTTACTATTTATATTACAAATGTCCTTCAATAGATGAATGGATAAAAAAAAATGTGGCATTTATACACAATGGAGTATTACGCAGCACTGAAAAATGACAAAATCTTGGAATTTGCAGGGAAATGGATGGCATTAGAGCAGATTATGCTAAGTGAAGCTAGCCAATCCCTAAAAAACAAATGCCAAATGTCTTCTT